AAAAATAATCTACTAATTGGTTTCATGAGGCATTTAAAAGTACCACACGACTAAAAAAACGCCGCAGGATTTCGCACATGGCAGTTATCGCCACAAAAAAAGAGTTGAAAGAGTTGAAAACAAAACAAAGCGAAGAGAAAGAAAAGAAAACTGTTTCATACCTGAGCTCGTTGACCCCTCGCTGTCCCCTGTCGACCCGGCTCTTCTGGTGTGCGCGTGGGCGCTGGCGTGCGCGTGGTCCTTCCCGCTGTGGTTCTTGACGTGCTTCCGGAGCGAGGAGGGGTCCGTGTACCGCTTGGAGCAGCCGGGTACCTGGCACGCGTATGGTTTCTGTGGACATGGAGAGAATGACTTTTGATGCTTTCCATTACAGGCACGCCTTCCAGGAGGCAGGCGTCGGCACTCACCGTGTCGAAGTGGGTGCGCTGGTGCTTGGCGCGGTCCGAGGAGTTGCTGAACGCCTTGTTGCAGCCGGCGAACTGGCAGCAGTACGGCCGCTCGCCGGTGTGGGACCTCTGGTGAATCTTGAGGTTCTCGAGGCGAGAGAACGCCTTCGGGCAGCCTGGGAACTACAAAGAAGGGGGAAAAGGTAAGTGTCAGAGCCCGGAGTTGGTGGCGCTACACAAACCGGCGAGGGACCCGCACACTCACCGGGCACTTGTTGGGCTTCTCGCCGGAGTGGACGCGCATGTGGATGAGCAGCTTGTAGCGCGCGTTGAAGGGGCGCGCGCCCCGCGGGCAGCACTGCCACAGGCAGGAGAAGTCCTCGCCGCGCCGCGGCTCCACGTGCACCTTCTCGATGTGGCGGACGAGCGGCGCGCGCCCGGGGAACTGCAGGCCGCACTCGGCCCAGCGGCACTCCGAGACCACCTCCTCCCTGCAACAAGCGGCCCGAGCCGGGACACCGCGGGTTATAGTCCGGGCGCTCCTTGGGGGGGACGGTGACCCCGGCCAAGTACCACCCTTACAGACTCACCTCGGGTCGTCCTCGTCGCTGACGTCCTCGTTGCTGTTGCCGCTGCTGCTGAGCCGCTGGCGGTGTGCTTGCGGGAACGGATCGTCCCCGGAGTGGACGTTGCTGGCCAGGAACACGTCGTCGTCCTCGTCGTCCTCGTCATCGTCCACATCGTCGTGGGCAACGTTTATGTCGTGCAGGCCCTGGAGGTCCTCGCTATGCGGACGTTGGCGGGTCACCACTTGGTTAAAGGACGCGGACGTCGAGAACACCTCTCCACCAAAGGAGGCAGGACGCTGTCGGAGCAGGTGCCCGAAGTTGCCCTAGGACACGTCGTGTTCAAGTCATTAGCCAAAACGGAAAATGATACTTGTCTTGCCAAAGAGTTTTTTTAGCGAGGTCGGGGCACACGGGCATTCCTCTTTCCACCTTTCCACTCACCTGGTGCTGACCCCGCAGGTCAGGGCGGTACGAGATGGCTGTGTTGGACGGCCTGATGTGGTCCCCGATGACGTCCCCACGAGAGGGCACGCCCAGGGCGCCGAGCCCCACGCCGCTGCACGTCACTCCGGAAACCATGTCCACGACGTTGGCCCCGGTGTGCAGCAGGATGCTCTGGGGCTGCTGCTCGGGGGTTGGCGTTGGGGGTGGCGCGGTGGCGGCGGCGGCGAAACGCCGGGAGCCGGGGATCATGTGCGGCAGCCCGCCCGGCAGGATATCCGGCTTCATGTCGACGCACTCGTCCACTCCGTTGTCCTCCACCACCGGTGATGACGCAAAGTCGGCGTCCGCGTCTTGCCTCCAGTACTGGAACGCGTCCACAAACAGGCTCTTGGTGTCCAGCTGGGAGTCCAGTTGGGTCTCCAACGGCGTGCCCAGCTCCAGCAGCGGGGTGTCCATGGCGTCCATGGCATCCAGGCGGTCCCCGGTGTTGAGTCCCGGACCGGCGTCGAGGGACAGGTTGCCGCTCCGCAGGTACATGACCTGGAAGTTGCCGTTCTCGGCCACGGAGAGGAGCTCGGGGCCGGGCGCGGGCACGAGGCTCAGGCAGCCGACGGTGCCGTGCTGGTAGGGCGAGGGCGCAAAGTGTCGGGAGTCCAGCAGCATGGCGTCGGCGAGGGGGCCGGGGTCGGCAGGCGCGCGTCACACGAAGGGGATGCAGCACCGGAGCACACCGCGGACCGCCGAGACGAGCAGGCCGAACAGGACGGAGCACAGGCAGCCACAGCACATGGCCCCGGGGTGCGCACGGGACGACACGCAGAGCACTACTCACGGTGCCGGCCGGGGCGCGGGGGCAGCCAGCGCCTCGCGACAACCCCCC